CCCCAAAACCCCAAAACCCCAAAACCCCAAAACCCCATCATGATAAGATCAGTGGGTAAACTAAAGAGTAATTATAATATAAAATTTCCAATTACTGATATTTACTTTTCATTCAATTGCTTTGCGATAGCGAACAGCTGGCAAAGAAAAGACGTTCGGGATGAACACATAGTCGAATTCTTGCTTTCCCTCATTCACCAATCTATGAAGTTCTTCTTTCCTCACTCTATGAGAGCATTTAGTACTCTCACTTCTTATAAAAGAGCTCCAATTCTAAGCTATTAAATCTGTATCTTCTCTCCAATCATTTCTGTGATAGACAGGACTTTTTGGGTCTAGCTTCATCAGTTGGTACTCTGGATGGAACAATACTGCATAGATTGGATAATCGTGTGCTTCTATGATTGTAGGATAATGCTTAAATCCAAATAGGAATTCATCTACAGCTAATATTTTCCAAAAAGCTTTCAATGACTCAAACTACTCAAAATCTCTGCTATCAATGGCATATTAATGTGCATGGATTGCTAGTGGATACTCTCTCATCTTTTAAATCAGTTCATCACTAAAGTGAGATATCATTTTACCTTCTTATTTGATACTATCACTAGTCCAAATTATTTTTCGAATAGTACTTAGTGCTGGCATGACTGTTAGTAAGTCTTTGTAGTCTCCACTTACTATCATGCAGAAGACCTAGAAACCCTAGCAGTTCCCGAACAATGGAAAATAATCATTATGCTTGTCCTTCATATCTTTAGCATATTAGAAGATTGTCTTGGCAGTTTTATAATACTAATGATGTTCTCCTGTCTTTGGATTTACCAAGATTAAGTTTCCACCAGTAAACAATACTCCGTTTAACTGAGATAAGAGTGCTAGCAATTCATCTTCTGGCAAATCAAATCTGATAGGCACAGCAACATTTCCAGCCAATTCCACGTATTATCTATTGACACCCAGCATATATTAATCATACCCTCCTTCACCAATGTTATTACTATAAAATAATGAATCTAAAGAAGTATTACCCTGACAGTGACATAGTAAGAACTCCTATCGCAGGCTTAAAACCTTAAGCATCCTCAAGAAAACTCTGATCCATAACTTATCTTTGATTTATAAAATTAACGTGTACAATTAAATTACTATATTATCTATTTCTATTCTATAATAACTACTTACGGGGTTTTGGGGTTTTGGGGTTTTGGGG